TTAGTTAAAATGGCTGCCTTCTATCGCTGTATGCATTCACTCATCTCATTCCTTATCTTCATTGCCATATTTACAACGTTTCGGCCGTTGTACGCCCCGGCCTTCTTCAGGTGGTTAGAATTTTGAATCGAACCTTTTATAGATTGTTCTAGTTCCACGTGCCATGCTCAGTTATTTCCCTTTAATTCAACTCTCCAAGTTTTTGGTTCACCATTGCTGTAGCCTGGTATTGAACTCACAACTCTTTGGGTCTGGTCACTGGATCTAACCAGCGCCCTTTTCCACTGGGTTATGTTTCATTCAGGGAAATAACTGAGACATCCGGAAGAGGCATGGCATGTGGAACTAGAACGCTCTACCCCGGTGGACGAAATAATGGGTTCGGTTCGAAATTCCGATCACCTGAAGAAGGCCGGATCGTACAACGGCCGAAACGTGTATGCTCCCAAGACTCAGTTAGGGCGGAGTGGGGGTATCTACAGGGTCTATTACTGAGAAAGGAACACATTTTAAATATCTAAAAATAGATGAAACATGAAATAAACACTTTATTCAAAATAAGTATAAACTAAATTTTTATTTCACTCTTTGATTGGATGCCCTTCCGATATGGATACCTGAGGTCGTCGCACCCTCTGCCCCCCTCCTTCTGCATGTTACGGTGCTATAGTAACGGGGCTAAAGTACGCTGAGTGATGCCGCTTGTTACTGATTGACCTTGAAGCCATACGCACTAAATGATAACTTTCTCGCTCACTTCCATTGTTATAGTGGTACTTTGAATGAAAGTGTGTAGCGTGTGGCTGTCTCACAGCAACACAAAGGTTCCATCAGTGACCATGGCACATAAAGCAGATTTTGGACAAGAATAACAACACCCCCAGGTCCGAAAACTACTATATTCCCCGGGGTCTTGCCCGTTGTGATTTCCAATTCAAAAATCAAATACCATTTGAAAGAAACAAGATTTCAAAGCGTCGAGATAATCCAAGAGAATGCGACAAGGTAGCTGCTCGCTATTCCATAAAATGAGTTCCAGGAATGGAAACGACGCTGGATAAAGTGAGCGGCTTCAGAGGGGGACTACTTCGAAGGAGATTAAATACCGAATTTATATGTGTTG